CTTTTACAATCATGTTTTCTGAAGTGTGACATTCCCTTGCACACTGCTACATGACAAGCCACACAGACAAGGTAATTCATTACATTTCCCCTTTTGCTATATAAAACCCACCCACACAAGGCAGCACCCTTTATTGTTCTTTCTCAGCTAAGTTCCAGTCACCAACATGACATAAAAAGCACAATTTTCTTCAACTCAGAGTTCAGCGGGTGCCTGGAGAGAAGCGAGATGGAATCGGTGGCTTTCACAACTCCTGGTGAGACACTCTGTGATACCAGCAGAGATAATAATAATAATAATAATTTTAGCCAAAGAGAGAGCAGAAAGGCAGGGAGGAGGCCCTTGGTTACCTGCAGGATGTCCCTGTGGCGCTGCAGCGTGTGCATCAGCGCCGCGTTCAGCGACGGCACGCCCGCGCTGTTGGTGTACTCTGCCATCTTGTCATTTATCCCAGTCAGCTGCAGGAGGAAAAGCACCCAGAAAATGAGAAATGGCTTATTCTTGCAAGAAAACTACAATGCACAAGCTGAAGGAGGCAGCTAGACGTGCACAGCTTGTTTAATACCCACACTGGGATTTTCTAATATCTGTCACAGAATCCGGATTGTGATGCTGCCTAAATGCTGAAATCAGCCCAAAGTAACTGGAGTTACCTTTCCTAGAAGTTGCTCAATCTCCACAGCCATGGTCTCAAACATTCTGTCCTGGCTCGATCCATTTAGTAGAGGAGTTGTGTCAGAGCTAAGGAGAAGAGGAGGAGCAGTTACTGCAAAGTTGCATCATTTCATGAGCACCAGAAATAAGGAACCACCAGTGACAGGGGCTGGCAAGCTCCACTATACCCAGGTCTGCTAGAGATTAAATAAGCTCTGAAAAATTACATTTTCTTATTCTGCATGCCTTTAACTCTTATCTGAACAGATAACACAGTACCATGTGCAGGAAATAAATACCACCTCCCCTGGGAAGAAATTCCTGACAGCTGTCTGGTACCAGTGTCCTCCTTCCCCCAGCTTTTAATCTTCATTTATTTATTGACTGGCAGGAGAGAGCACTGCACTCTTAGCATGTTACTCCAGCAACATAATCACAGCTTAATAACAGTGTTAGGACAACCTGTGACCTATTAAGCAACCACTGTCCCACAGAGCAACACACACGACACCATTTATCACAATTAGTTTCACACACCTTCCATGCTTGCTTGTGAACTGAAACCACAAGGAAAAGTCACATCCCAGACCAGCCTGCAGATCTGTGATAACACCCCTGAGATTACTCATGGGTCTGGTAATCTGCCTTGAGTAAAAGAAGTAAGTTTGGCACAGGACAGCAAAAATAATGAAAACAACTGGATAACATGGGAAGTAACAGCACAGAGGCAGAAACAAAAGTGAAACTAAAGCTGTTCAAGATTATCATTGCTGAGATGCTCTCAGGCTTCCAGAACTGTAAATTGAGGGAGAGGTATAAAATGGACTCAGTTATTAAATTAAATAAAATAGAAAAATATCAACACACATACCTAAAGCAGCAACACCCACAACAGATATAGTTAATAAGCGAAGAAAAGCTTGCAGATGGACAGAGAGGTTGATAATTCCTGCTGTGGAACTGCAAGGAAGAGCTCACCTCTGGCTCACAAGATACACCTGAAGAGTTTTACCACATTAATTCTTCAGTCAAACATAAATGTAATTAAAGCAAACAGAAACCACCTCTGTATATACACAGAGACCACATGTGTATTTACACACATCTAAAAATACACGTGCAGCTCTTATTATTCTCATTAACACTGTCCCTGTCCATGGCAGAGGGGTTGGAACAAAATGATCTTTGAGGTCCCTTCCAACCCAAGCCGTTCTGTGATTATTACTCACCTCAGCAGAAAGACAGGAAGAAATAGCCACTGGTTTTGAAGAGAGGGCTTGTTCCCTGCACAGCTCCAGTTCCCTTAAAACTGGGATTACCAACAGCACACCAGCCCACCTGGGAGGTATAAAGCTAAATTCCCCTAATACTGAACTCCCTGAAAACCTCCTGTTAGTTTAATACAAGAAAAACTCAGAATTAAGCCAGTGTAACAAGCATTAAAAAGCTCACTGAGCGTACACAGACCAAAATCCAGCTTTCCCCAGTGACCTGTCACCCACAGCCTGACTCACACACCAACATCACATCCAGAGCAGCACCAGCAGCGAGAAGCGCTGAAAGCTCCCCAGGAATCCAAGCCTTGAGAGCCACAGGTGGGACCAGCACTCAGCAAACGATAAAACCGCACCAAGCACCACCGGCAGCGTGTAAAACATAAAGAAACGGGCTAGTACCTATACCTGTCGCGTCTTCCGTCTCGGGAGCTGCTGTAGCTGGTGCAGAGCTTGCTGAAGGAGACCAGCTTCAGGTCCAGCTCGTTCTCCAGCTGCCTCGCCTGCTTCCGGAGATCTGCAGGGCCGGGGGACAATCACGGACCCGGCCGGGGACCTCGCACCTCCGCGCTCCCGTAAAGAAACCCACAGGGGAGAGGGGGCCCTCGAGGCCGGGGCAGCCCTCACGCCGATAGGAGAGCACGGCTGGGCGCCCGCAGCTCCTCACCCGCAGCCCGGGAGGGTCCGGCGGGGCCGCGGGCTTCATTCAGCAGGCACCGGCGCCTTACGGCTGACAGGCCGGCACCGCCCGCTGCCCGTCCCGGAGGGAACAGAGGGGTCCCGGCGGCGGCCCCGCCCTGCCGTGCCCGGGCCGTGCCCCGGGGGCCCCGCAGCCGCCCCGTGCCCGCCGCCCCCCGCCCCACTCGCCTTCCCAGTAGTTGCTGCTCCCCGCCGCCATCTTTGTTGTCCAACGTCAGCGCGGGCCGGGCGGGGCAGAGCGGCCGGGGAGAGAGGGGCGGGCCAGGCCGAGCGGGCCTCCCGCGGCAGCGCCGCGCAGCGGCCGGGCGGGGAAACACCGCGGCCGGGCGGGGAAATACCGCTACCGGTCCCCGTCCCGGTCCCGCTCTTCCAGCCCCAACCGCGACCGCGATCCCCATCCCAATCCCATTCCTCTAGCCCCGATCCCCATCCCAATGCCTCTCCTCCAGCCCCGACCGCGATTCCGATCAAAATCCCGCTCCTCCAGCCCCGATCCCCATCCCAATTCCGCTCCCCCACCCACGACCCCGGCCGCGATCCTCATCCCAATCCCGTTCCTCCAGCCCCTATCCCCACCAAAATCCTGCTCCCCCCAGCCCCGATCCCCATCCCAATCCCTCTCCCCCAGCCCCGATCCCCATCCCAATCCCGCTTCCCCGGTCCTGCCCGCCCCGTTGTAAGGAAGAACGAGAGAACGCACGTGGACATCAAAATAGTTTTATACAGATTATTGATCTCGGAATACAGGTAAAAAACAGGCGGCGGCGGCCGAGGGCAGAGCCAGGCCCAGCCCCGCGCCGCCCCCTCCCCTCCCGCTGCCCGGAACGGCGATTCAAGTCCCTTTGAAAATTACATTTATTTATCTGAAGGCACAAGTGCACGGAGCCACAGCGACAGGGACGGTGCCCGCGAGGACCGGCTCCTCTCGGCCCAGGGCACGGCTGCATGGACGGACAGACGGACGGACCGAGGGCACGGGAGCCGCTCCTGCCTTCCCGAAGCGCCCGGGAACAGCCCCAGGGCCGGCCAAGCTCCGAGCGCGGATCTGGGGGCAGAGCCAGGCACCTCCCTCGGTCCTGCTGCGTAGAAAAGTCTCACACGTTTGCAAAATATCTCAAATCCACTCACCTTAAATATACACACCTACTCCCACAGCTAATTCTGAATGCATTCTGAGGGAAAGGGCCAGTTCCTAACAGGACTTATTGCTACAGGGACAAAGCAGGGCCAGCTCTGTCCATTTCCTGCTGCCAGAGCAAACAAAGCCCAAACGCAGCCCCAAGAGCCATTTGCAAACTCGACTTTAAATAAAACCTACTGTGTCTCTGGTTAAAGAAGGAACAGCTCAGAGATGAGGCAGGATTAATGCTACTGTGTGCTGGTGTCCTGCAGCCCATTACAGGTGGAAAAGGGACAAAAAGGGACCAAACCCCATTCTTTGCTCAGCACAGAGATGTTCATGGCTCCTGCACAAGGCAGCCAGAGCAGTTCTGGCACAGCAGATGTGGGACAGGAGCAGGGGAGTGCTCAGCATCATCATCTCCCTGTTCCCAGAACACCTCCCCAGCCACACCTTGTGTTCCCTGCACTGGAATTCCCTGTGGAACAGGGAATGAGGTGCATTGATATCTCAGGATTCTCTCTGTCCCTGCCCAGAACCAGATGAGATGATGACACAGCACAGCTGCAGCCACGTGGTTCTGGAAGGGCATTTCCACAGGTAGGGGAGAAGAACAGCTTCTGCCCCAGGTGACACAGCCCATGGGACTGCAGTGGGGCTGTTCCTCCAGAGGAGATCAGTCTGACCCCTGCAGAGCCTGCAGACCCCATTAGATTTTTGGGTGCAACCCCTCCACCCACAGACCCCACGTGCAGGTTTCACCAGTGGACAGCCCCAGAGCAGCTCAGGGCAAACTCGAGGCCTAAGGCTCCTGCACCCCAGAAACCAGGTCAGTGGGGCAAGAATTAAAAAAGAAAATGAGCAAGAAAGTAAGTGCCTATTCTAACCCCAGCCTTCTGCTTCTGCAGAAAGCACAGGAACATCAGAGATACAGAAAGGCTTTGGAAATCAAACATTTCAACCATTCTTTCTTTCTGGACACCTCTTCTATTCCTCACAAATCCCATGTGTGTGTTGGGGATGCGTGCTGCAGCTCCTCTTTCCAACCTCATGCCAAGTGCTACACAAGAGGATTTGGCTGCTTTTCCCTTCTCTCTCTGCACAGTTCAGCCCTTCCTCACTCCCTGCACCACAGCTGCAGCCACACACACAGATGGAGCTCCTGCTCCACACTCCAGGAGCAGAACAGAGCCAAGCCAGCAGCCAATTTGCTGCCTGCCATCACCAGAGCTCGGTGATTGAATGGTATTAGGTGGACAGTGGCAAATGGTGCAGGTTTTCTTCAGAATTTAGCACCAAAGTTGGGCCATGGATACTCCCATGACCTCTCCCTGCTGCTCCAGTAATGCTCAAATACAAAGCAGTGGTCAGATTTCACTGTTCCCTCCTGAATAGCGGTGGATTTGAGCAAAATTGATCAGGTTTTCTACAGATCAGTGAATCAATTTGCTCAGAACAACCTCCCAGCTGCTCTCTCAGGCACTGAGCTATTGGAAGATGAACATGAGACCCCAAAGCCAAGCCTATGACACAAACAAAACACAACCAGGGTGATGGGGATAAAGTTTCTTTGCTCCCCAGAAGTGAGGAACAGCAGCATGGCAGAGCTGGCAGGCAGGGGAGCTCTGTCAGGGCTCACTGGGGCTCTGACTCTCTCCAGCTCACATCAAGAGCAATGTCATCTCCCCCAGCCTTCAGGAGGGGGAAAGTAGTGACACATTAGAGGTGCTCCACAACCACTGCAGGCCACAGCAACCCATGGTGGGAAAAGCTCCAAGGGAACAGCTGAGAATCAAAGGATTTCTTTCTTTTTTGGGCTTTTTCTGAGGGCTGCTCTGCAGAATGTGGAGTCACGTGAAGGACCTGGGCTCCCCCAAGCATGTAGTGGAAAACATGAAATCAAAACAGGTAGAGAGACCTTTTTTGGAGTGTTATGACCACGACCCTGTGCAGGTCTTGGGGCACTTCCCCACCATCTGCTCCCTGTGCTGAGATGCTGGGGAAATGCTAAGAGCTCTGCTGGCCACCCTATTGAAGCTGCCTTTCAAACCACATCATACAAACCTCCAGATCTTGACCCAAAAATGTAACAAACCATGTCCCTACCTCAGAAACAGCCTCCAACACCCACTGAGTGCCTGCACACAGGAACAGAGCAAACAGAGGGAAGCTGGGGGCTGCCACCCACCCCTCTGGAGGACACATCCCGAAGCTAACATTTCAAAACTGACCCACAGGGATTGCCCCCCACCACCAGGTCTGGTCCATGGGAACCTCCTCTCCTGCCCTGGAGGTGTCAGTGTTTGCTGGAGTACAGTGTTTCTTCCTCAGTGTCTGTTTCATCCTGGAACTCGTGGCTCAGGAGGGATTTCTTGGAGCCAGTGGACATCATGCGGATCTCGTCCTCGTAGTCGTCGTGGTGCTGCCGGAGGCGGTGGAAGCCATCCTTGTGCCTGTTGGACTTGATGGAGCACACACACCAGATGATGCAGGCTGTGAGCACCAGGGCAGACATGCTGGCACCTGCCAGAGAGAGGACACCAAAGTTAATGCCACATTCCCCCTTCCTGTGGCATTCACATTCTCTGATAAATCCCTTCACCCAGGGTTTTTCTCCCGAGAAGCTGAAAGGCAGCAAGAGAGGCCTCAGAGAAAAGGAAAACAATTCTTATCTCATTTGCTTCTCCTGTGTTGTGCTCATGTAAAATGTGTTTAGAAATTGTTTACCCAAAGGTGATTGCCTGATTAGATTCCCGTGTGAGTTGTTTTAACTCATTGGCCAATTATGGCCAAGCTGTGTCTAGAAAGAGTCACGAGTTTCATTATTATCTTTTTAGCATTCAGTATCTTTTCTGTATTCTTTATATAGTATTCTTTAATATAATACAGTTTAATAAAGTAATAAATTAGCCTTCAGAGAACACGGAGTCAGATGCATCATTCCTGCCTTCATCAGGGCTCTTTAATTACAATACCAGGCCAGAGGCTCCCAAGCTTGCCAGCATCTCTCCTCCTTCCTGCAGTCACAACCACTTCCTTCACTTCATTGTGACCCTGCTCCTTCCTCCTAGGCCATGGAGGACAGGAGAGCTGCTCCCAGAACAGGACACACTCAATTTTCTCTGTTTGACATCTAGGAGATTATCCCCAAGCTGCACTACAGACCACTGGGTCTAAACTCCCACACACCCCTCCTCAGCAGCTGCCACCTTGAGAAAATAAAATAATCTCTTCATGCTTACCTGATGTCACCTAAAAAAGCCTTGAAGAAGCAAGATTTCCCATGCACACAAGCTCTCCCTATTCCAGATATCTCAAAGTACAATTTGGACTCCCCAAATCCCTGCAGAACACTTTATTTCCTCCCTCCCTCCTACCAAGCAAGACCAAGGGCTGTTGGATGAGTTTGCAAGGACAAGAGTGTATTCAGAAGGGAAAGCAGGAAATGGCTAAAGCCTGCAGGCTGCTTTCCCAGTTCAGTGGAGAGTCTCTGTCAGCATGAGCTGGTACAGAAAGCAAAGCTCCAAGCTTTGATAAAAAAATGTCACTGTACCTGCCACAGTTATAACCAGCTCTCTTGGCAGCCCAAAAATCCTGTTTTCTGTGTCAAACACAATGAACACAGAGCTGGGTGCATCATCACGTACAAAGACCTGCAGAAAGACATGAGAGGTTAGATCATCATTGGGGATCCAGACAAGAGAGACATTTGTCATCTGCCTGGTCCTGCCCTGATCAAAGTGCCATGGAAAGAAAAGGCACTCCCAAAACCACCCTGCTGTGCTGGAAAGTCGTTCTCCATCCATTCTGTCAAGGCAGAAAACAGCTCCTGATGGCACCTAATCAGCAGCTAAACACAGGCACAGCCAGGCAGAGCCCAAACAGGGAAGATTTTATGTGACAGGGAATGGGGAAACATCTCCAACATGGACATTCACATACCTTGACATGTTTCTGCTGGTACCCACTGGCTGTTGCATCAATGCTGTGAAACCCTGGAGCCAGGAGCACGTGGAAATAGCCACCTTCCTTAGTGTAGACCCTCAGGCCTTCATTCAGAACAATGGCAGCTTTAGCAATTGCCCTGCCACTCTTGTCTTGGACAATGCCATGCACTCCCTTGTGGACCTGAAACAAAGCATTTCAAACACTTCACTTTCAGATCCAAGCTTACAGTGCTTTTGTTACTAAAATGAGATCTCTAAAATACAGCCCATTCACCATCCCTGACCCTCACAATAAATAACAGTGCAAGGCAATACAGCACAGATGTTTAACTCTTGCCCTGGTCACTTGCTGCCTTCCTCACACAGCCTAAGCCATGAACATCTGTAATTACACAGCACCAACCAAACCACAAAGACTCCCCATGCTGTTCTCTTCCTTTCCCCCTCCCCACCACTTCAGTCCCTGCCAGAATTTCCTCCCACAGCCTGCAGCTCACCTCCACAAGCATGCTAAGGAGAGATTTCCTGTGGTCTGCCCACAGGCTAGGAAGCTGTCCAGCACTGGGGAAGTAGCAGCAGCCGGTATAAACAGTGATCTCAGGACACTGACCAAACGTCACGCTGAAATCCTGCAAAAAACAAAACCACAGTTACAAGGAAAGAGGTAACAAAAAAAGCTTTGCAAAGTGCAGCTGGAGGGGGAGAAGCTTTGCCCAGACATCAGGACAAATAGGCTTTTTATTGGTGGTTTAGCAGAGATGAGAAGTCCTGTGCCATGCAGCAGTACCTTCATACTTCCCAGGTGACTGTGCCACTCTGAGCCACGGATCACTCCACCAGGAATATTCTCATCTGTGAGAGCAAAAACACAGCTGTCAGACAGAGCCTGCCCAGCAGAGTCTGCCACAAGCTGACAGGGGGTTAAAGGACTCAACCAAACATACCTGACTTATTTGGACAGCCTGGCTGGCCCAAATGCATCACTGGGTGGTTGTTTGCATACACAGATGCCAAATGCTTTAGTGTTTCTTTGTTCTCCACTGCAACAGGAAAAATAAGACTTTGAGCAGGCAACTCTCGTTCTCTGCATGGGGAAGATTCCCATTTTAACCCCATGATCCTGTACTAAACAGAGACACATTGTTTCAGGAGCATTCCTCTTTCCCCTAACAATAAGAGGCAGTATCAAAAGCAGATTTTATACTTGTTCTGGCAAAGGAAAGGTTGAAACGCTCCTGTAAGCATAGAAATTGTAAATGTTCTGATCCCTAAGTGAACCCTGTGAGGTTTTATAGATTTACTTACAGACTGTCAACTGCACACACAAAGGGCTGAACACAAAGGAAGCTACAGAACACCCGAGCACAAAAAGCCCTTAGAGCACGTGGTCACATGAACCTCTGCAGAGACTGACAAGGGGAACCAGGCAGCTGGTCACACCTGACTGTGTTGGATTGTCATAGGGGTAAGTGACAAGCAGAGATCCTCCATCCAGAGCAACAGAGAGGCTGAAATCATGCTTCAGGATCAAGTTCTCCACGATGGCTTTGGTCTCAGGCTCTCGTGCCGCTGAGTACCGGGTGTAATTGCCTATAAATCAGAACAACAAATAGAAAAGGGAACTAAGAACAGTTTCCTCTGCTGTTTGAGAGGCCAGAAGTACATCATTTATGTCAGAAATTAGGTCTGCTGCAGGTATGAAAAGGCCTTTGTTAGATCTCAGCAGATGAAGTGACCAATCAAGTAAAGCACCCAGCCCACTCTGTGCATGGGGGGATTCATCTGCAAAGCTAAACAAATGTGCAGCACCACAAACTCCCCAAGCTATTTCCTTTTGTGTTGCAGAAGGTATTTCATGCATGTTTGCTCACAACAATGTCACACAATTGACATTTTCTTAAGGAAGGAGTTAGGATGATCCCAGCCAAACTTGAGCAGAGAACATTTCCTGCTCAGGAAGGGTGGGCTGATACAGTGCTATGGATACAGTTACATGGAAACCAGAAAAACATGGAAAAAGGAGACTCTTTCTGGGCAGCATGAACAGAAGGCATTTTTTCAGAGATGAAAGAAATCCATTAAGAGTAAGAATACATCAGGTATTATCTGACCTCTCCTATTCCTAAATAACTCTGCTTTGTCTCTTGCACATAAGAGACTGCAAATTGCTGTCTGTAAAGAAGATCCAAGCTCTGGAAGCCTCCCAGCAGCTGTGCTGCCTGGAGCACTGCCTTCTTTACAGGCAGACCCTGTAACCCAAGGACTGCAGCCAACCATGGGGCAGTTATTTACTTGTGAAATCTGTGTCCAGGTCTCTGCCATGAGCGTTGGTCTGGCCGATCTTGGAGGTGCAGCCTCTCTCCTGCGCGATCTCGCGCCCGTCGGGGTTCAGGGAAGGCACAATCACAATCCGGGTCCGGTCAATCAGCTGAGCAAAAGGAGAAACAGCACAAAGTGTAATTAGGAGGATTCATTTCCCTGGACCTTAAGCTAGGAGCTGCAGTTTGAGCTTCTCATCCTATGGATCACACACCTCCCCATTACACAGAGAACCACCACAAGCCCCACACCGGTTTTGGCAGGAGTCTCCCCCAGTGAGCACTGTCATCTCAAGTTAGAGCTGGAAGGCTCCAAGGAGGTCTTTGGATTGGCCTCTCACCTTTGTGATAGCATCATTCTTCTTGTAGTTCATGCAAAGAAATTCTGCCAGTGTCAGGAGCAGCTCTGTCCCAACAGGAGCATTTCCATGAATCCCAGCAACAAAGCGGATCTTGGGCTCCTCAGGCTCGGACTCGTTGGGCTTGTTGGAGATTTCAAGGGACCAGATCTGGCGGAACTCCACACTCTGCCCCAAGCTGCCAAGAGATGGGAAATGGGAGTGTCAGCTCAGCAAGAGAGCTGCAACTCCAGCCTGACCCCATGGAGAAATCCCAGCGTGGAAAGGATCTGTTGCCAGCCTCCAGTGGGAGGCTACAAAGGCAAGAGAAACACAACCAGATCAGGGGGGCAGATTTGCAGCAGCACTGAACAGAATTCACCCTGAACATCAGTTTGAGCACCAGCATCTGGGTAAGGGTGTATCCAGGTCCAGATGCACACAATATCCAATGCTCCATACAGCCTATGAGATCATGATAAATGTGGAACTGCTGGATCCTCTGTGCTACCAGTGGTGGGTTTTGTTTTGTTTCTTTTTTCCCTTCAGAGCAGGATACATTTGGACATCAAACTAATTTACAAAGCAGGACAAAAGAGGCCTGTTCCCAGGAATGCAAGAGCTGTTGCTACAGCCATGCTGCTAAGTTGGCAAACTGAGTGCAGGGAAAGCAGGGAACAGGCTCAGGGCTGATGCAACTGCAGGGACAATAGAGGCTACAGATCAGCAAAGCAGCCTTGGCACCAGCAGGGACAGCACATGAGCACATTGTGCCTGGTTACAACAAGCAAATGAGGCCCTGGGACAAAGGGATTTGTGCTTTCTAAAGCTGACAGAGGGTGAGCGTTACAGGTCACAAAGGAAAGCAGAGGATGGCAGCAGCTGGTCTTCTGCAGGAGGGCACAGACCTTGGCCCAGGGCAAGCTCACACAAAAGTGTCTTGCACTACTGAAATAAAATCTGGAGGCAGACAATGAAAAAAAGGCCATCTGAGATTTGTAAGTCAAAGCTGGTCATTTTTTCTGGGGACTCTTCAGCAGAATGGATGCCACAAAGGATTTAAAGAACAGACAAAATAGTAAGGAACAGAGATATTTGCAGAAATCTGGGATATCAGTGCTGGGAATGTGACCAGTCCCAAGCATCCCTGGGGAACTAAGTCAGGGAACAGCACATGGATGCACCCATGAGGCCCTGCAGCCATTGCTCTGCTACCATGTCCTTACACATGGGGCTCCCTCCACCTCAGAGAGCACAGGGAAGGGAGGGGTGAGCTCCCCATCTCTGCACTGTGTTCATGACTAACAACTTCCCAACATCCCCAGCCCAGGCTGCTGCTCTGTGTTCACCTGGTGAGGTTTGTGATGTGGGGGTAGTTGAGGTAGAGGCCTCGGAGGAACTCGGAGAGGTCCTTGTAGGGCCGGTATCTGTAGGGAGTCACATCCCTGGAGGAGGTGAGCAGGAGCCGCTCCAGACCATTCTCAGCAGAGAGATCCTTGATCAGGGTCTCAAACTCCTTCTCGTTGGGGTTGCTGGTGTCTGGGGTGTTCAAGACCATCCCTTTCCCCTCTTCCACTTTGCTGTCTGTCCGTGAAAGGGTGAAGTTGACCTGCACCCCCCCTTTGCTGTCAACTTCCACCACCTTACTGAGTGGATCATACCTGCCCAGGGAAGAGAAGGCACAAGAAAACATCAGGCATTTGAAACCTTAGACAACAACCTTTTCCTGACTACACACCCACATGGGACTGCTACTGCTGCCCTGCCCACAGTGAGAGGCACAAAAATGAGGAGCAAGAACAGCTCAAAGGGATGTGGGAACGGCAGGAGGACAGGGAACAGCTCAGACCCCAACATGGCATTGAGCTGCTTTTGGCTCAGGTGTTCAGGGTTACATGGCAGACTGGCAAGACAACAAGTCAGGCTGCTTTAACACAGAATTTTGGCAGCACTGAAGTGATCAAGTCACTTCTGTGGGCAGCTGCCTGGAAAGGGATTCCCCCCAAAGACACCAAGTTATCCACTCCTAACAAGGGAGGATTGGGATTGTACCCCAGTGCCAGGTGAGCAGTCTGACACCACGGCAGTCTCACACTGCTATCTCTGCACAGGCCAGGGGACAGGAGGAACACCCATGCCTGTGTGTGCTGTAGGCAGGCAGAGGTGCTGGAATACTCCTGAGTGGGAAGGCAGTCATGCAGCTGTTTGCTCCTCCTCTGGGGCTTGCTCACCCTCGGGCAGACGCTGTGATTTTGTACGTCCCTGGGACCAGCAGGCGCCAGAAGTCTCCATCCTTGTAGGTGGTGACGGGGTGGTTGATGTCAGCCACGCTGATGGTGGCATTGAGGATGCCCCTCTTGTCCACAGCATCCAGCACAAAGCCCCAGACACCCTGGTGAACCTGCACAAAGGAGCTCTGCTGAGTGCCAGCCCCAGCTCTGCCTCCCAACCCTCACATTTTCAGCATTCCCAGAGGAGCCAGATGTTCCAAAAGGGCTCAGGTTGGACTGGCCAGCAGCTGGCGTGGACAAGGATCACCTGATGAGTACAATGAGCAATTGTTTGGCTCAGGGTGTCAGCATGGCACTCTCTACTCCACACCTTTGTTTGCACACCCCAGGTGTGCAGCACCAGCCCCACTTAGATAGGAATAGAATATGAGGGACATTCCAGCCTCAGGAAACCCAAGGTAGTGGTACATAAAAAGCCCCCACTTGCATCATGTGGATGCTATTCCCATACAGATTTTTGGTATGTTGAGAAGAGAGAGTAGTTAATATAGGCTCTGATGGGGGTGATTTCTGTAAAGCAGGTAGACAGGCTGGTCAGGAAGCAGCCAGGAGAGCTGGCCAGATCACCCTGTTCATTCTGACTTGTCTAAAGCAAACCCAGAGGGAGCTGGCCTGAGGTCAGGGCTCCTCACCTGCTTGATGAACTGCAGCAGTGAGCGCCGGTTCTGGGCCCAGTACTTGGGCAGCTCCTCAGCCTTGGGGTATTTCACACAGCCCAGCTCAATGGTCACTTCAAAGCAGTTTGTATGTAAGTAATTCCAGTCTTGCATCCCACCTACAACAAGAATGTAAAAGCTTTGACTTCTGAAGTACCACAGCTCAAAAAAAAAAAAAAAAAAAAAATCAGATATCAGAGAAAGATGAAGCACAGACTTGAAGGGAAAAGGCTTTTACACAGGGCAGGATTCAAGCTTCAAAGGGATGCCAAAAGAGCAGACAATAAAGTGCTGTAAAATTTTATGAAGCCGTTTTGCTAATAGGCAGAGAAACTACACTATAAATTCCTTCCCCTGGGAATAACTTTATTAGGGTACATTATTTAAGAGGTTATAAAAGAAACCTGAGTCCCATTAATCTGAGCTGACCAGTGCAGAGTTCCTGACTGAGCAGACTAAATTATTTAAGCTGCCCATGCATTAAGTTGAAGACAAACAGTGAGGAGATTTCAGGTGTGCTTTACCTGGAACATTGTACCACTGAGCCCCGTTAGTGATGCCATGTGGGAAGTACTCAGTGGGGTACATATCCTTACAAGGGCTTCCCTGGTACATCTTTGCATTTTCCTATAAAACAAGACGCAACATTAGAAGGTGAGCCTGCACTCCGCAGCCACAGGCACTCTTGTTGTACCCTTAGTCACACATTCAGGGTTACCAAACACAGATGTGTGTCTACCGCTGCAGCACTGGCTGCACCCACACCCAATCTCAGCCCAGATATCCTTGCTCTCTCCTCCCAGCCCATGAGCAGCATTTTCCACCACCCTTTAAAGAGCTTGCACAGAGCTCTCCTCCCTCAGTGCCTGCAGACAGAGCAAGTTGGGCATCACTCAAGGAATGGGAGCCTCCTGTAGGATCCTCCCTCACCCACAGTGCCTGCACCCACCTCCACCAGCTGCTCAGGAGGCTCCCTGGGAGCTGAAAAGGAGTTTCTCAGAAGTCAACCCAGCAGGATGTGCCCATTTTCCTGTTAGAGCTTTACCTTGGAGTAGGCAAGTGCCAGCTTCTGGAACACAGCATCATCTGGGGATTTACTGTATATGGCTATTCCTTGTTCATCATCATCGAAGGGGTAATTAACCACCAGGGAACCTGCAGGCAAAGCAAGCTTTGGCTCATACTTGGGTGCTTGCCCAGTGATCCCTTAGCATAACAGTGGAAATTTTTCTCCAGCAAGTGCCAAGCCTTCTGTTTCTCAAGACTTGGCATTAAACAAAGCATTAAGGCCAGTGGATAGAAGAGACAGAAGCACAGGAAGAGATAACACCACACCTAGTCAGGAAGGAGAACCAAAGCCACAACAACATCAAAGCTTTGGCTCTTACATGAAGGAGGGCTGAACACAACCACATAAAAATTGCTTTCACAGAAAAGTGGAAGCAAGGGGAAGGATTTCCCAGAACATGCATGGTGCTTTTGACCCAAATGAAGCAGTTTTTCAGCTTTCTGGAGTTTATTGCTAAGGGTTTCCCCAAGGAAGCTGTACTAATAGCACCACAAAACCCCAGACACCACTGCAGCTGGAGACCTGCCAGCCCCCTCACACCCACACATGACACCTCTGCTCTACAAACCAAACACAATGGCAACAAAACATCCACCTGCAAGTTACCACAGCTACAAGCCAGCAGACAAACTGTCTGGGGAGTAAGCTATAATACACAGAGATTTAATTTAGAACACTCCAAAAGGATAATTTAATTACTGCCAATTTCGTAGTTCCGCCATGCGAATCAAGGCAGGGAACCCTCAGGATTGCATTCACTCCATAAATGCTGCAAAGCCCTTAACAGCCACAGCTCTATATCCCATTCCCAGACCATCTGCTGAGCAATTGCTGACAAGAGAGTCCATCCCCATCTCCCAGATGCTCCCTTCAGAGACGTGGTTGGGATCTTCCCAGCAGCCGCCTCAACTCCCTACAAATATGTTTGGGCATACAATTTTCACCCTCTGTTTCCAGTTTCTGCTCCATCTTGCAGCATGAGAGCTCCCCAGTGCACACCTAGAACACCCTGGAGCCATCCCTGCAACTCCCACAGAGCCCAGCACAGAGGAAGGAGCTTGGTTTGGATGTGGTACCTCCGTGCAGGTTTGCTGAGAGCACAAAGGGGTAAGACTGGAGCCAGGCCATGACAGCACGAGTTTCTGGCTGGGGAGGGTCTGTCACATGGAAAAACTGGTCTGGAAAGTTCCTGTTCAGGTCATAGTTGTTGCTGTTGTTTCTGCCAACGGTGCCTCCTTTGTCTCCTGAAAATGAAACACAAGTTCAAGCCCTGTGAAGAGGCTTCAACCTCTTATTACAGAGTTTACAACTAGTTGTTGGTGAAGAGAGCAGAGAGCACAGCAGTGCTGGCCCCCTGCACCCAGGCCCTGCCCAACAAGTGGCCTGCTCTGTGCAGCAATGCCTGGGGGCCCTTCCAGAGGGTGTTTGCTCAGGCTCTCAGGGCAGTCAGACCAGCAGCAAGGCACTGAACCATGAACAATCTCTGCAGCCGGATGTCACGACCACAGAAACCTCAGAGCTCACCTTCTCAAACCAGCCAGACAAGTTCTTTGTTAAACCCAAGCAGAGCTCTGCTTCCAGAACGTGATTCTGGACAGGCTCTGTTCTGCCAATCTGCAAGAGCCACGTAGCTCTAAGACTTCCCTGAAGGATGTTTTTGCCAGTTTCAACCTCATGGTGAAAGTCTGTGTTATCCTTGGACAAGTGCTCTGCAGACAGCCTGGCTCCCACACTGCACTTACTAAGAGAATGGACCAGAGCACAGCAAGCAAGAGCTGTGTCAAAGAAATGTCTTTTTTTAAAAAAAGCCCTGGATTAGCCACGAAACATCAGGGGACCCAAACAGGGGCAGCTCACAGAATAGCTGAATTATAAGAGCTCTCCCCAACAGCTTCCAGCATCCATCAATCAGGATCCACTCACTCATCCCACAGCACACACCAAGTCCCTTCCCAGCCTCCCTGTGTGGAGAGCACTCCTGCTCCAGCAAGGCTTCCAGATTTGCCAGGGACTCCATGAACCCAAAGGCTTGTTCTGAGAGCTAGGAACCCCACAGATTTTGGCACAGACAGCAATACCTTCCTGGGACTTCTCGTAGCCATCAGGGTTCATGGATGGCATGATGTGGATCCGTGTGCTCTGCACCAAGTCAGTCACCTCAGGATCTGTGCCAAAGTTCTTGCAGAGGTACTCGATGAGGTTCAGGAGAAGCTCTCGCCCCACAACTTCATTCCCGTGCATGTTACCGATGTACTTGAACTCTGGCTCACCTGTAGACACATGGTTACACCACAGAAACAATTATAGCCACTATGTTACAGCTTGGAGACACCTCACCACCCGGAGCATTGCTCTACCAAGCTTTGTTGGAGGGCATTTACCTAAAACTCACATTTCTGCTCCCACAATCCCAAAAAGAACAATGTCTCATGGAAATCTCTTTGTTCTTCTTCCCCAGAGCTCCATGACCAGCACAGATGTCCCCAGCCATGCTCTAACACCCCTGCACTCACACTTTTATAAAGGATACCAAAAGGAGCAGCTCAGTCTCTCAGTAGAGGCGCCAGCTCTGCCTCTCCCAAGGGTCACTTGCGCTTGTGCCACAGACATCTATTATGAAAAATCCTTTCCTTAGGATTTTTCCGCCTGAGAAGCTGAGAGGCCTCAGGAACAAAATGTAAATAATGATTATCTGCTGCTGTGGAATGCAACAGGTGCATCTGTGATTGGTCTCATAGAGTTGTTTCTAATTAATGGCCAGTCAAAGTGACCTGGCTCAGATAGAGAGCCTGAGACACAAGCCTTTGTTATCATTCCTTCTTTTTCTATTCTTAGCTAGCCTTCTGATGAAATCCTTTCTTCTATTCTTTTAGTATAGTTTCAATGTAATATATATCATAAAATAATAAATCAAGCCTTCTGAAACATGGAGTCAGGTCCTCGTCTCTTCCCTCATCCTAAGAGCCCTGTGAACACCATCAGACACTTGTGCCTTGCTCAGGAGGATTTCCCACATCACCTGCTTCGTGGACACCAGGGTTGTCAGAGATCTCCATGACGTAGAGCTCCCTGAGCTCCACGGACTTGCCCACGGAGTAGAGGCGGGTGATGCCCGGGTACTCGTTGGCGTAGCGCCGCAGGAAGATCTCCATGTCCGAGAAGTGGTGGTGCCTGAAATCCACGGGCTGGATGGGCTCATGGGCAGGGGTTGGGTTTGGGGCCTCAGCCTGCACAGGGGTGGGGGTGATGGCAGTGACAGGGGCAGGAGCTGCTGTGAGCTGGGTGACGTTAGGAGCTGGTGGCATCGCAGTGGGCTGCAAGGAGAAGTTCACTTCTGCTGCATCTCCCTCCTTCACCTCGACGTTCTCTTTGGTCACTGGTGTGTAGCTGTGGAATAAACAACTGGTTTCAGCAAGGAGGCTCTGCAGAGCAGAGGCCAAAACTCCCTGCAGTCCCTCCATCACTCCAGCCTGCTCCCCCCAGCCCAAATGCACTGGGATGTTAATGACTGAGAGATTCACAGGGACTCACCCCTCTGCCACCAAACCCAGCTCCACTGCTGTCCTTGCAAGAGCCCAAAGGCTCAGCAGGAAGAAGCCCCAGGTGTATCACAGAAGGCAAGTTACACATCCACACCCAGGCTTGGGACAACACAAACTCCTGTTGGGGTAACCCTACTCCACTTCCCTCTGCACAGAAGTTGCAATTTGATACGAGCAGTGAAACAGAAGTTGACAGGAATTCCGTGCACTCAACAGCACCCTGCTGCAGGAGCAAACACAGCTGCAGCTCTGAGCTGGAACCATTTACTGCTGCAGCTTCCAGCCGAGCCCCTTAAATACATAAGGTGTTTTGAGGGGGGAATTCAAGAGAAGGAACAGGAGCAGCTGGCAGTGTGGGCACAGGCTGCCACAGAGACATTACCCCATCACAAAAGCAGTCACGTTGTAGGTCCCAGGCACCAGCAGCCGGTGGTAATCACCAAACCTCCCTGCTGTGATGTTGTGAGCAATACCAGCAACAGCAATGGTGGCATTTTCCAGGCCAGCTCCTGTGACTGCATCCCTCACAAAGCCCTTCACACCAATGTGCACCTGAGGAAAACAATGACAGGGTCTGGCTGAAGACAGGCAACATCAGGGGAACCTGAAAGGAAACATCCTAAGGCAGCAATACCCCCTCAAGCTTCCCCAAATGCAGTAGAGCAGGGCAGCTGCCAGGCAAAGGCACCCAAGGGCTCAGGACTCAGTGTTCAACCAGACAGGAATTCCAGCATGGACTGGGAAGGCAGCAGGATCTCAGAATTTACCCTCCCTAACTCATCAACTGCCTAAGTCATCAACGTTGGCAAACTGCAATATGAACATAGCAGTGTTAGAGACCAAATTCAGCTGCCTCTGATCCCAGCCTAAACTGTCACCTACTCAACTCATACACAACATCTAGAGACAGCCTGGCAGAGGGCTCTGCAAGCCAGGCTCTCAGCAGTGAGGATGCTTGTGAACATCACTGCAGATTCATGGCACTGAGACCAGCCAGGACTTTGCATGACTTAGGGAGACCTGCACCAACCAGTCCCTCCAACACTGCACCCCACAAGAACAAAGCTCTGTCATTGTGGGGCATGTGGGAGCTGCGGCAGAACCACAGAGAAACACAGCAGCTTTGTAGCCACTGACCTCCAAACAAAGCTGCAGCACCTGTGTTACCTCACACAGCACACAAAGCCATGAGGGCACCTGAACATGGAGCTCCCAGCACAGGAGCACTGGTTTCACAGCTGCCACCCCACACCCAGCCCAGCCCTCAGTACCTTCTCAATGAAAGCCAGGAGAGACTCCCTGTTGTTCTCCCACTCCTTTGGAAGCTCAGAGGTCGGTGGGTATTTGCAGCAGGACAGCTCCAAAGTGATCTCAAAGCAGTTGGCCCACACGTAGTTGTAATCCTGCATCCCACCTGAGGAAAGGAGGCAGAGATGTCCCAAGAGCAATGCACACACATCCCACCTCAGGATGCTCTTTCTCTTTCTCCTGTCCTTCAGCCCCACAGAGCACCTCCCCAGGATGCTGCCCCAGGTCCAGAGTGAGCAGCCTAAGGAGAAAAGTCAGGTCACATTATGATGACACCCTGTGCTGTAACTGGAACACTGGGCCATTCAAATCAGCCACAGGCAGCTCAAAGTGACAGTCCTTTTGTCCCACTGCTCCACCAGCTGAACTCATCAGCACAGCTCTTGGGTATTCACACAGGTTCATTTTACATTTCCAGACATGGCAAACCCCGTGTGCCAGGGCAGGCACACCAGATCCTGAGCATTCCAGCTGCCAAGTCCTTCCCTGAGCATTCTAAGCTACCTCAAGATTTGTGAAGTCTGCATGCAAGAGAGGTTACTGCACTCAAAATGAGTTTGAGGCCTTTGATAGAAAAGAATAGCAGACTATCAACTTGGGAGCTGGCAGCTCAAATCTGCATACTGGAATCAGTTTCAAGGCCAACTGTTCTCCCAAAAGCCTCTTAGCAAAACCACAAGTGTGTGAAACAGGTGTCAGAATCACCCTGCTAAACCCCACCACATGACAGCAGCCAGATGACCACATGAAAGGATTGCTCCCACCACCCAACCAGGCAGTTGCGTCAGTAAGGAAAGACACCACACTGTTTATTGCATGCTGACAAACTCTTCTGGCTTACACAAACTTATTTGGTTATAACACAGGCAGACTGGTGGGTCACAGCCTTGGCCACCACTTCCTAGACAGGTCCAACCCAACCTGTACAGCAGCACCTGCAACCTCCACACTGACAGTGACTCCTGCCAGGGTCACCTGGACACAGGGGCCCACAGGCTCTTCTGCATGAGTTGAACTGACCCTCAGAAGTCCCTCTCTCAGAGAACAGCAATGCATTTTCTGCACAGGAGGCAGATGTCAAGTCCAGGAGGAAGAAAGCAAAGAGCTGTGGCAGATTTGCAGAGCGCCAGCAGGAAGGTCTGTTAGAAATGCAGATTTTGTGCACCCATGCTTTGCTTGGCCCACTGAAGCACTGCATCAGTGCTCTGCCAATAGACCTCATTTCCTCTGAGCAGTTTCCTAATCATCCACAAGCCCCTTGAAGTGAGGGACCCTCTGTGGCACTGGCCAATGAACCAGCCAGAAAGGATCCATATCCTGATGCAAATGTACTGCCTGGCACTGGCAGGGGCTGTGTTAATGCCTGGGCAGGAACAGCTGAAAACCAGCAGCACCTGACCAAGCAGAGGAGGTTTCTAGCAGAAGTGGTGGCCCAGAAGGTCACAGTTCCACTGTCCACTGCTCTGAATCCAACAGCCCCACTGCAGCTGGGTAAAGCAGAACTAACAGCACAAAGCAGGATTTAGAACAGGCCCCTGGGCAGATGTGTAGGATGGGACCACAAAGATGTCCCAGTTCCTCTCAGTTCTCCTGGGAGTGTGCTGCTAAGGGAACATGGAGCTTTTATTGTAACAAACCAAATGTCCCTTGCAGCCAGAAGGAGAGCACTGCAGCTTGTGCATGGCTGACATCAAAACAGGAAAGAGACTTTCCTGTTCAGCACAGGGGGTCACAATGTGCTGGAGGACTTTCTAACTCTCAAACTCAGTTCAAGGGGTTAGAGAAACAAGGGCTGTGGGTCTGATCCACCCTCAGCTTCATTCAGCTCCTGTAAGCAGGCTCAGAACAGGCAGGCACAGCAGGCTGCTCTCTCACCAGTAAACACCACGCCGAGCCAAACCATTTGCCAGCCCATAACCATCTGCTCCTAGCAGGACGTTAATGCACTTGAAAACACCCAAAAACGTAAACCAGAGCCATTATGAAACATATTTAGTGCTTCATCTGCCATTCAAGCAAATTTAGGACAGATGCTCACCCATAATAGAGCAGCAACGGACAAAATTAGAGCTTGCTACATCAATTCTGGTAAAACTGTCTCTTGGAGAAAGTAGTACACTGCATTCTTGAAAATTTGGATTGTATCCACTGCACATATTTGGCCTTCACACAGCTCTGTTGCAGAGCAGGACAGTTATTTTTACAGCATGTGGAATTACGTATTTTCCCACATACCATCTGCACAGCCTCCCCTGACTATGCAGAGACCCAGAGGGGTAAAGAGAGCTCTGTACTCAGCCTGCCATGAGCAGGGCACTGCATTCATGGAGCAGAGCAGAAAACACCCACCTGAGGGAGAAAACTGCCAGGCTACAGTGCTTCTGCTCTGTTTGGGTAATATCTGGGATAACCCCTTGGATTTATTTACCTCAGCATTTTAACCACGGGGTGTCTTTCAGCCCACACTGTGAAAAGTTTCAGCCTCCCCACAAAGCACCACTGCCCTTTTTAACAGTGAGCAGCTTAGTGGCACAGCAAGTCAGCCCCTGGCTGGCAGCAGGTCACAGAAATGCTCAGAACAAACCTTTCTCCTGCTCTGACCCACTCCCTGAGTGTCAGGGCTGCACAGGCAGGGATCCCAGGCTCCAGCAGCACAAACACTGCAGAGCTCACGCTGACAGGGGGGCCTCTGCTCCCTGCCAAGCTCAAACCAGCAGAATGCAGCTCTCCAGAGTCAAGCCTGAGGATCCAGATACCATAAATACTCCACGTGGCAGGAGAAGCCTGCCAGGCCAGCCAAGAAGGGCTCTATTTTCAAACTGCACTATGCAGAAAACTGATTCCAGCTCCCACTGGAACAGACACCAGCAGATCAGGAACCTGCAGCTAAGTTAAAGCAGGGAAACAATCATGTCTGCTCTGCAGAGAGAGCAGATGGCACCAAGCAAGCTGGAGACATGACTCAATACACGGCACAAGTTGCTGACTCTGCTCAGAACTGATTTTCTCAGAGCATGGGACTGAGTGAGCACCAGCAGCAGCACCAAGCAGGCAGAAGAAAGTTCTGGTCCATTAGTCTGCAATCATTAAAACACAGAGGAGGTGAGGTTTGGGCCTCCAACTGCAGCAGCTGCATGACCCAGAGCAGCCCAGGCCAGCCCAGCAGCCTTTTCTCAAAGACAAGGGCAGAGTCTCCCCAGGAGCTGCACCAGCACAGCCCTGCCCAGCACCTCATGACAGGTGTGAAAAGAGGCCTTCAGACATTCAACCCACCAAGCCAATACTTCTCTCAAGAACAAAAATAATTGCAGCAAGACTTTCATGAAATACAAGCACATAAGTGCAGCAAATTGTGCAGAAAGACAAGGCTGAGAGCTTCTACAAGAGCTCACTCTGTGTGAGTGCCCTCTGCCATGCCCAGGAAACAGAGGCCACCACAGTGATGCCACCCTGTTCTCAGCACTTGTTTTAACTGCACTGAGCTGGGTGCCCCTAAAAGCTGGTTGGAAGCTCAGTGTGGCTGGCAACCACAATCAAAACAACCCAGTAAGCACACAGGTAACCAAAACCCACTTTAAACCTGAGAAGTGTCTCCCAGTAGACACCAGAAACACCTCAAACACCTGGACATCAGAGGGACAAACTAGCAAGAAAATGTATTTTAGGAAGGGACTGCATGTAAAAACAAACCTTCCAAGGCTGCCCACCAAACATGCTCAATGCTGAATTTAGTTTCTGATCTGGATCTCTGAACAACACAAAGGCAAAGCACATCCTGCCCACAGCTGAGAGTGGTTTCTCAACTGCTCTCCATGCCCCAGCCCAACTCTGCATGCATTCCCTTGATCTGAACCAGCCACTTGGTAGTTAGAGGTTAAAAAGGAAGAGAAGGAGCATGCACACCAGAGATAGCCTCCAAAAGCATCCCAGTCACCAGTGTGCTTATCTACAGCAGCTGGAATGCAGGAGCCAAATTCAGCTGTCTGGCACAGATCCATCTTCCTCTCTGCACACTTGACCTCAGCAATTACTCCCGTGGTTTGTACTTGCCACCTCGGTCTGATACATGTAAGAGGCTGTTTGCAAACTCTAATGGAAGTTAATGGAGCCTGGCACCAGCATAAAACTGAGCTGGTAACTGCGGGACAATGAATCCCGTGGCAGTTTGCTCTCCAGCATGTTTGATTTCACATGATAAAATGTGGCAGGAAAATTTCCCACCTGTTGAAACACTGTGTTCCCATTTCTTTGTTTTTCCTGGCTTTGGTTCACTTGGAACCTGCAGGAGTCTCTCCTGGCACAACCTGATCTGGAGGCCTTGAGCACATGCCCTGCACAGCTCACAGAACCAGGAGCTCTGGTTATCCACCTCTAGAGCTCAGCTCAGGGACTGGGATTCCCCCAGCCTCACTTCACCACACATTTCAATGCTGCAATCCCTGGGAAAGGCCTCCTGATCCAAGCACGAGCCTCTGCAGTCCTTGGCACAGAGCTCAGCAACTCAGATGACTCAAAACAGCCTCTGATGGTTTTGCTGCTTCTGTCACAGCACTTACAACTGACTCCCCTCTGCCTGTTCTGTGTCCACTACTAAAAATAAACATTAAAACCTACAGCCCCAAAGGGGTGAACTGACACAACATCAAATTACATGCATGGTATTGGTCAGTTCACCCATGCTCTCCCTAGGTTACATGTTACATGAATCCCTTGGCTCTGGGGGAACTCTGCAGTCACCCTGAGCAATGTTCCACTCTCAGAGTGCAGTCAGTGCATCCTCCCTGCAATCTCTGCCCCTGAGTGCCCTACAGGCATCAGTGCTGAGCCCCAGCCTGTGGCTTGTCACAGAGACAGGGTTTATTTCTGCAGAGGCTGGGTGCTGGAGGCTATTGGATAGACATAAACCACAGTGACAGCAGCACAGAGCAATCTGGTCTGCAGTTCACACCTTTTATTTCCTGTGAAAAGAAAATGATGCCATTTCTTTGTACTGATGGCAAAGCAAAGGCAGCCTGCAAGGTTCACACATCAGTGCCACAGCCACCAACCAGCCCCACAGCCACCCAGGAGGATGAAAAACTTATCCCTGCAGTGAAAAATGCAGCTCTTTGGGGTCAGGAGAACACAGACCCAAAGCTCTGGAATAAGTTTTCTTTCAGAGCACACCCACCCCACTTCATTACGAGGACAGAGCTGCAATAAAGAAACTTCCCATGCAAGGTGTTTGCCCAGAGCAGCCACCACAACAAGGCAGCACAGATCATCCAGGATATCCTGTTCCCTCACAAGCCAAGTCACCAGATTACACAAACTTTCCTCCTGCTGGACTTCTCACAGCAGCAGAATGAACCTTGAGCCTGCAAACAGCAGGGCAGAGGGAAGGAGACAGCTGGTAGAGAAAGAGATCAAACCACATCTTATTTGAACACAACATCTTATTTGCCCAGTGAAACCCTGGGGGATGACTCAACCACTGCTAAAATTCAAGCCTTCCTCTTCCAGCTGAGATGTTGTGTTCAGGCTCTATAATGGATCCCTCTCCAGCCTCCCCAAGCAAGCTGGATGCAGAATTAACACAGGACTCTGCTGCAAAGCCATGTTCCAGAAATACACTGTCTTACCAGAAATCATTAAGCCGCAAGCTCTGAAGGATAAACAGCACTGCCTATCACTGCCTGCTCAGCGCTTCTGCCATCACCCCTCAGCCACAGCAGAAGGGAAAAAAGCAGAGCAGCACAGCAACACAACTTATGAGATCATTTCTGTAATTTTTTTGCTGTGTGTTCTCACCACAGAAGTTCCTGCCCTGCCTGTACAACATCCACCAAAGAGCCACAGCAATGGGGTAACCTGGGAGCTCTCTTTTCCATGAGAGCTCCTCCTCACATGAATTATTATTTAAATTTTCAACCAAACCAACACACACAGAGCAACAGTGTGGCTGAGCCAGGCCTGTAACCTCCACCTGCACAGCAGAGTGGTGGCACCAGGAGGTCATTTGCTCCTGTTCAGCTCACTTCCATGTGCAGCTGCACCATGGAGGGATCAGGAGCTCTCCTAGAGGCCCCTGCAGGGCAAATCTCAGATCCCTTCTAGATCTCCCACACAGGTCATGCAGGCTGTCACCTCCCACACAGGTCTACGAGCAGAGCAGCCCATGGAAAAGCTGCCAAGAACTCCTTGGTTAGCTCAAAACACATCTAAATTTCACACAGTTTTACAGCAGGTTATTCTAGAATCACAAAATTACAAGCTCAGAGGTGGAAAGAGCTCACAGAACATTGGTATTGGTTTAATGCCGTTAGGAATCATTTCCTCTTTCCTGTATCAAAATTTAGGAACTGTCAAGAGACCTACAAGAATTCATTTGGCACATGAAGCCTCCCACGTGCAGGACAACTCTCCACTACATAACAGGGTCAGAAAGAACCCTTCAGCTTGCTGTGATCTCTTCCCTACAAACACCTCCCAGGCTGTTACTCATCAGCTGGTGCTCCCACAATGCCACCTCTCTCCATTTCAAGCTGCTAGAACACATTAAAATCTAAAAATACCACTTAACCCCCAGAGCTTTCCTCTGTGATAATCACCACTGGTGTGGATGGGAGTTCTGAGGCGAGCACAGCTTACCTTCCACATCATACCACTGGGCACCATTTGTGATGCCATCTGGGAAGGTCTCTCCCTCCTCTCCAGGGCAGTTGGGTTTGCCAGTTCTCATGATGGGGTGGTGTGAAGCATAAGCTTTTGCCAAATATTTGAAGACTTCATCATCAGCTGATTTACTGTAAACTCCTGTGAGCCTGTGCGTGGGCGAGTCATCGTAGGGGTAGCTTGCCACCACAGAGCCCCCGTGGAGATTGCCAGAGAGCAGAAACCTGGGGTTGGGGAGGAAAGGGAAGGGACAAAAAGTCAGACTGGAAATATTGCAACAGGAAGTTGGCTACAGCCACCCAACCAGTCATTCTGCTGCTTCCCCACCCAAATCACGCTCTCTGGAGCCCCCAAAGTCTGGTTTGGAGTAATGAGGCAAAATGCACACACTGGGAGTGGAATCAGTTCTGAACAGGTTTTTTTCTGCAGCCTAAGACCAAGCCCCCAAACTCGGTGACAGACACAGCAATGCACTCTTGTCGAGCTCTGAGGACACCTGGTATGTGCAGCAGAATTAACTCACAAATCAAATCTGGATGTGAAACAGAGTTGCTAAAACCTCAAGTCATAAAATATAACAGGGCATGGTGCACATTTCCCTTCAGTCTGATCACAGGCTGCACAAGCATTTCAGTGAATCCCAAAGGTAATTTCCTCTGTTCTTCTCTTCCCACCAAACACAGCACTGAGGGGAAAAAGAACTCTCCTGTGCATTTGCTCAAATGGGATTTGGTTTCCAAGCAGAGGTAATGTGACCAATACCTCCACCTTGCTTAAAATAGTGCACACAAATTGCATTACACCCACTATCTCCCTTTTTAATCAAACAGTTCTGTTTACCCATTCATTTTTCTATCAGCAGTTATGTTAGCCTAACAATTACACCAGTATTAGCTGGTGCTGCCAGGCAGAGGGACACACAAAGCACCACGTTCTTCCTGTTTCACCCTGGCTGAGGGTGATAGCAAATATAGGTGGGAGAGCAAATCCCACCTCACACACTAAGAGAAAAAAAATTAAAAAGCTCAAGGAGCTTCCAAAATTATATAAAGAATGCGCTTGAGTTTCCCCAGTAACTAATTTTGAGCTGAACCAACTCTAGAGGGATTTCAGTGCAAAGTGCTGCACCAGAGCTGTCCTAAAGGATTCTCAGGACAAGAAGTTACTTCTGAAGTTTCTGCAGTTCCTCTGCAGCACCCTCCTCATGGGCACTGCCATCCACCAAGGGTTAATGAAAATCATTTGTTCACATAAATTTCCTTTACTAAACATGAGCAAACACTACAGGATGCTGAATGTTTTGTGTGTTGGTTGGAGTCAACCAGCCCTAGAGTGCACTGTCACCCCTCTCTTCACCTCTTTCTATCCCTACTTTGGGAAGAGGGCCACAGTTTGCTGCAGTGCATTGCTGCTTTCTCTGCACAATTTCCCACAGTTGGCTGCATTGACCTTTGTAGTCTGGACCTTACAGAGCTCCCTGAAGAACAAATGGCAAGTGAAGGATCAGTGCCCAGCTTGGCCACTGCATTTTCTGCGGCTGCCCCAGACCCCCACACCAGAGCTGGGCTTTAAAGGCACCATCTCCTCTCCTGGGCTGCTGCACTCCAGGCACAGCAGCTTCCCCCTGGGCTACCCCTGAGGAGAGACCAAGGGGTCAGCAGGGATGCTCCAGGCTCAGCCCCACGTGCTTCAATTGAACTCATGGGGAAGGCAGCTATAGAAACAGGGCCTGTCTTCGGCAATGCTGCTGCACAGAGCATTATCGCTAAATCAAGGGAATTTCCCATGTAACACAAAGATGAGGGGAAGAAGCCCTGTCCAACACAATTTGTTAACATGGTCATATATAGGTGCTTAACTCCAAATATTTCCAGCATCTCACAGCTTGTGGAGTAAGCATTATCGGCCCTAAGAGCAAGACCCACTGACAAGCTCACAGCGAAGCAGGTGAGAAGTTTCCAGCCACAAACTCAGCGAGATGGGAGACCTGCAGATGGCCATGGAGGCCTGAACACCTGGGTGTGTGTGCAGGGCACACGGGCTGTGCAAAACCTGGGGCCACCAAATGCTCCCCCAGCACAGGATGGTCCCGGCTGCAGGGGGGCAGGCTGGGGATAAGCAGGTGGGGAAATTACTTCTCCTTTTCTCCCCAGGCTTTGCTGGGAAGCACCGGGAAGGGCTGGAAGCTGGAAGCTACCTTCGGGGAGTGAATCCGAGGGGAAGCGGGCACAGGGGACGGGGCAGAAGGGGAGCGGGCCGGGCAGCGCTCACCTGTTGCGGCGCATCCAGTCGATGAGCGCCTTCACCTCGGGCACGGGCTCCAGGTTGGGCTCGGCGTCCCCGAACTGGTCGGGGAAGCTGCGGTTGAGGTCGCGGCCGCGGCTGTTCTCCCGCCCGCTCTCGGCGCCGCCGCCGCGGCAATCGCCCTCCCGGGCGCGCTCGAAGCCGTCGGGGTTGAGGCTGGGCAGCAGGTACAGGTCGGTGGTGTTGAGCAGGCGGACGATGCGCTCGTCGCCGCCGGCCCAGCCCAGCACCAGCTCCCAGGCCAGGCGCAGCAGCAGCGGCCGCGCCAGCGGCTCGTCCCCGTGCATGTTCCCCACGAGCTTCACCTGCGGCCGCCCGGGCAGGGCCGCGCCGCCGGCCGGCTCGTCGGGCCGCTCGGGGCCCAGCCCGGCCGTGAGGCGCAGCACCCACAGCGGCCGCTTCTCCACCGACTGCCCGATGCTGAAGAGCCGCACCAGGCCCGGCGGGGCCGTGGCCTCCAGCGCCCGCAGCGCCTCGCCCAGCTCGGCCGAGTGCAGGTACCGCAGCGCCTCGCCGGGCGCCGACGCCGCCGCCTCCGCTTTCTTGATGTGGGGGGAGCGGGCCGGGCTCTGCAGCGAGGGCGGCAGCAGCAGCGCGCAGAGGAGCGGCAGCAGCCGCGGCATCGCCCGCAGCCCCCGCGCCGCACTCGCCATGGCCCCGCGCACGCCCCGGTCCCGCGGCGCCGCTCCGGGTCCGGGCCGAGGGGGACGGCGGCGCTGCCCCGGGGGGCGGGCCCTGTCCCGGTGCTCGCCAATCAGCGGCGCCCGCGGGGGAGGAGTCGCCAGGGCGGGGCGGTGAGGGACCAATGAGAGGCGGCGGGGGCGTTACGTCACGGGGTGGGTGTTGCCGTGCGCTGCGGCGCCCCCTGCGGGCCCCGGGCCGGCCCCGGTGCGGGGCTCAGCGGGAGCGGAGCGGGGGCACTCGGGCTCCGAGGGGCTCCCAGGGCACGGGGGCCCTGCCCTCCCTCAGGACAATGCGGCCTCTCGCTCTTCGCGCTCGCTGTTTGCCCCCACGAACGCCCCTGCATGAGGCGCTCACCGCTGCGGGAGAGGCGGATCAGCCAGCCCGGAGTTAGTGCTGCACAAACAGCAGCACCGGGCGATGCCCCGGCGCCTCCGAGGGTCACGACAGCCCCCACGTCTCCAGCGGATAAAGCCGGAACACAAACCAGGAGCTGGGGAGGAAGGACGGGACTTTGCCTGGGCACGGTGACAAGTTGTGGCTCAAGTTGGGGCACAAGGTGTTGCTGCTGGTGCCTCCGTCTTCCCCAGCCCTGAGCGAGCTGCCTGCTCAGATCGAACCTCTGGGGATTAAAGACATTCTAACAGTGCGATGTTTGCATTGCATGTGGCTGTGACTGCACAGCCATGAGTACTTTGGGGCCTCCTCCATCAAATTCCCTTTGTGAGGCAGGTGAGATGACAAGGACTGAAGGCAAGACACCTTAGTCTGCAAACATCACTTTGCAGTCCATAAAACAATGGAAGAGTCCATCTCCAAGAGCAGTTTCCTGCCAATTTCTGTTTAACTTTTCAGTAGTATCTCATGTACACATCTGCTTCCCAGCTCTGGCATTTCCTGCTGCAGACACAAGCCCCAAGTCCAGCACATAAAACTGATTTTCAGGGGAACCATCAGTGGTATGACTCCTTCATCTCATGGCATTCCAGCATCCTTTGTGCAAGAGATCAGATGATGCAAACTCATGTGTGAGCCAAGCATGGTACAGCGTCAGAAGGGCTCCCAGGAAAGGGAGAGTAAATTGGCCTTGCTTTCTTGGGGCTCATCTGGTCTGCACGATCATTAGGAGAGGAACAAGCAGGAAACAGGGGTTATTCATCAAAAAGATACCCCAGATAAAATTAAACTGGAAAAGCCAAAATACCTGGGTCAGCAGGATGTGCTTAAACCAAAAAGGAGAAGGAATGTCAAGAGAGAACATGGCTCTCTTGGAAGTGATCACCATGATATATATTTAAGTCCTCAGTCTACAAATGGATTGCTCTGGATTTACCCAGAGTAACTGAGCTCATTTCCCTTTTTAGCTGATAAAAGCCCAGTTGTCTGGAACTCCTGCAGGCCAATTGTAAAAGCAGCATGTGGCAGAGGCTGATGAGTCACAAGCTCATTTGCTCAGCAGCCAGTAACAGCAAATTCTCCACATTTCCTTGGGCCAGCCCAAGACTTCCACATCCCTGAGTGAGCAAATATCCAGGATCTGCCTCCTCCTTCTCTTCCTCCTCCCTTTCCTCTTCCTCTCCCTCCTCCTCCTCATCTCTGCCTTGTGCCAATGCTGTGGCACTCAAAAGGTGGTTACTCAGGAGCTGGGGCTTTTGCCTTATCACACTCCACAGCGCTTCCAACCATGGAGCAGGAATGTGATTTTCTCCTGGAGATCAGCAGCAAATGGTCCCCCATGAACTGCAAAGATGGAGCAGCTCAGTCCTGGCAGATTCCTCACAGAGGGAGCGAGGGATGACCCCACAGCAGGGAAGTTAAAGCTGCTAATATTGTTTGGCAGCACTTCACAAGATCAAATCACCACTTGGTTTTCCAGCAGAGAGCACTTCCAAGAAATCCCACTGGTGATGAAAGTTCCTAGGTAGATAAAAATATCCGAGGTCCAGGCTGTAGAGCCACAGCAGAACAGGGTGTTGAAAGAGAAGTAGCTCTGGGAATTCTGCTCAGGAATGTCCTGTACTTGCCATCAGCATGAACAGGCACCAGGTTTAGCAGCCTCCCCAGTCATGAGTGTGGCTTCAGCTCTCTACAGGATTTCCTGCCTTTGAGCTCCTGCCAAGGTGATCCCAGGGATTTCAGCTGGTTTCCAGTGCTCCCAGGTGATTTTGTTCCCCTTCCGTGGGTGGGTACCCAGCAGGTGGCATCCACATCCAACACTTGTGCTGGAGCCTCACCTCTCTGAGGGCTTCTCTTCCACTTTCTGGATCCCAGGATCTGTTTCTTCATTAATGCTTATTTTCTATTTGAATTTATTTTAAAATTTCAAAATATTCACTGATTTAGTATTTCTTTAGTTATTCCGTTATTCCTGTTCCTTCCCAAAAAGTTCACTCATAATTCCTCTGTGTTCAGTGGCATGGCACGTGAACTTTTATATAAAGATCATCAGGAAATAGATTTACTAACAAATTTATGAAAATATACTTGAGATCTCTCCATCTCACCAGTGAGAAATACGCTGGATCTAGGCTGGGAGAAATCAGGGCACATCACACCTCCATAATGTTTTTAAAAAACATTGGAAATACAGGTTTGTGGGAGGGAACAGGAGTGCTGAGTAAGTTCAAGCAGCATTCCCGGACAGCCTCAGTTTCCAGCCCAGTTATCTGGCAAGGAGAGGCCCTGGATTTGGTGTTACAGTCATCCTCCAACAATTGAAATGTTGCAAAATATGTATCACCACATATTAAAATGGGATTAGAAGTGGAGAACCACAAAGAGTGGGAAGACAGGAGCAGCCTTAGAGCAGAGCCTCAGGCACTATTGCAGAACTGTTTTCTGGAGCAGCATTACAGCCACGTTCCAGCCTTTGTTTGCTTGACAAAACCATAGATACAACCCTGGGTTTCCACACGTCTGTGCAGATCCTGCCATGCCCCTGACTCCAGGAGCAGCCATCAACCCCCACAACTGCTGAGGATAAATCAAGATCTCACCTGCCAGTGAGAGTGTGGAGGATTAGGAATTGTGCTTCCTGCTCCTGCAGGCACTGAGGACATCCACACAGAACCAACTGCTGGGGAGTTTGGAGTTGGAGGTTAAGAGACCTGATGGAAAAAAAAAACAAACTTCTGCTCAATCTCTATCATGTTCTAAATCTTCTCTGCTCAGGTTTCTAAGGCTTGGATTACACCCAGGAATAGACTGGTGCTTATTAATTAATTCCTTTGAGGCTGTTCAGAGTAATATTTAACAACAGTCTTATTCTGGGTTTGTTGGTGAAGCGTTGCCATAAGGATGATGAGCAGGAACTGGTGTGGTGGATTACTGACTCCAGCCCATGGTCTGTCTAATCCAGCCTTGGCTGTGCTGATCCAAGTACCCCAAATGTGAGGGTTGGACCCTTTGCTGTGCAGAGTTATGGAGTTCTTGCCTCCTTGAAGAGGTTCCTCCCAGTCTGAGTCATTAGTGGCTGCTTTGCATTCTGGAACATGAGGTTTGTGTCCCTCCAAAAAACGTAATGGAAAGGTGGAGAATGCAACCCACAAAACTCTAGAGCTCAGTAATTAGACACCCACAAGATTAATTACACCCTGTATGAAAAGAAAAGCGTAAAAAGCCATTGCAAAAGTAATTCTTACCTGGTCTAAACAGCTGCCTTCCAGTGCCACTGGCCAGTGACACCTTCATTTTCTAGTCCCTCTTCCTTCAGCAGATCCTGAGCCCATTGCAAATGAGGACAGTGCCATTGCTCCAGACAAACCTCAGCTCACCTCAGTGCCTGTCATGGACCTGCTGGGACAGAATCTGACCCAGGTCTCAGCTGGTGCTGGGTCTCACATCATAACAAACCCCCCCAGAACAGCTGTTGTCCAACAATTTTCTCCCCTACTGTCATTTCTACATTAAAAGAAATACTCCCAAACTCCACCCTTTCCTTCTGTACATCCTCACTTACTCCAAACCACCTCCTTCTTCTACAGAGTCTCAATCAGTGCAGTGACCTGAGGGAGCACAGACTTCACTTTCCTGCCCTTGGCTCACCTTGTGGTGGGAGCACAGGAGCCATTTCCCAGTCCATTCCTTTGAATCCTTCTCTATTTCAACTCAGCTTAATTCCAAACCACAGAGCTCACTTGACTCCTAGGAGGAGCATTTGGATTAAAATTTGTACTGAATCATAAGCCAACATTTAGTTGAATTCTACAAGGACAGGACAGTTTTTAGAAAGGGGACTGAAAACTCTCTCTTCGAGGGACTTTTGTACACATATACTTTTTTAACCAAAAATTATTCCCTGTAGGTTTTAAGGGTAAACCCATAAACACAGAAAGAATTCTGTTAAGAAACACTCAAAGGTGACCCTTGTTTGCAGCAGCCCCACAAATAATCACTGCTGTGTGCTCCTGTGCCGTGTGTGCAGGCAGCAGCCCCAGAGCAGGAGCCCTCCCTGCCCATTTCTGTGTCACTGAGCTGGGACACGGCGTCCACAGGCCAAGAAAACACCAAGGACACATCCCAGGCTCCTCCTCCTCATAAAATGCATTTTATGGCTCTGCTGAGCCCATTCCTGATGAGTGATGTGCCTGCAAGGACACTGGCAGCAGTGGCAACGCGTTTGGAGGCTGTGAGGACCCCGTGCTTTGTGACCACGTCTCCATCACCCTGCTGGGGTGCAAACAGCAACCTCACACAGATTTCCACATAGCCAAGTGCTTCAGTTGTGCCCTGGACACACAGCCCAGGCACAGCTGTCCCAGCAGAGGGGACAGCAGGGACAGACCCCCCTGCTCTGTGCTGGGGGGTGCCCAGGGCTGAGCCAAGCACAAGAGCAGCCTGGGGGTACACAGTGGTGAGCAGGACAGTGTCTGCTCTCTCCTCTGCCAACATGCAGTTCAAAGTCTGAATCAGTGAATTTTCTCATTTTCCACTCAAAGGAGGGCATGGCAATGGGGCTTTGGGCAGAAAGGGACAAATCGGAGTCTACTCCTGCTGCAGAATAATCTACAATAAAATCCCTGTGGCTTGAAACAGTGCTGTGAGCACACAGAAAGCTGGGGGAAAAAGGTATTATTTTTGGCTGAAAGTCTTTATGGCTGATGCAGGAACTCTCTCATTAGTTACTCATTGCCTCAGAAAGGCTCATAAAACAGCCAGCAGAGCCCAGCAAATACTTCAGTCTTGTGGGAGCTCAGAAATCCAGGAATTGAACGAGGCCTTGAACCCATTTTATAGACTCACTTCTTACTGAACGATCATAAAATATTAAAATTCAGACCTTATAAATAAGGAGGGGAAAGAACTGTGCACTTCCCAGCAGAAGCAGCCTCTCCAGAGACTCTTCCCAAGGTAAGTCCAGTGCTACCTGATCCAGAGACGGGTTCCCCTGCCTGACAGGTGATCAGGGACAGCAAACTCATGTAATGGAGATTAGAGACATAAAACCCCTCGAATCTGCTCTGAACTGGAAAATGCCCTGCAACAATGGACTCAGTTCATTCCCTGGTGACCCTGTGCCTGCTGTGGGGCTCTCCCCGGGGTTCTGGTGGCTGCAGGGATTAACCCCTGCGAGCCCTGGGCAGAGGCAGCAGTGCTGTGGTTCTCTCTCCAACAGAGCCAGCTCTGCTCCGAGATGGTGCAGAGACACAGCCTGACCATCCCCCATGGAGTGCCTGTCCTGGCTCTTTCCTTCCTGGCATGTGTGGCCACAGGTGAGTAATGGAAAAATCCATCCTGCCTTTGTCCAGGCCCCATCACACCAATTATTGAAACTGCCCAGGGCTGGGGGATGTGCCACAGCAGCATTTTGAGTGTTCTGGAGATCATCCCCAGAGGACTGTCTGAAAACTGACCTCTGATTTGAGAGTAGCAGAGCAGGGAATGGAGAAATGTCAGTGTTTTCCAGCATTATTGCAGCAGGAATGATGAAGCCACAGTTTCCAAACCTGCTCTAAGCAGTCATAAGTGTGATAGGTTTGGCCACCTGGGAACACCTTCAGACAGGGACCTTCAGGCTTCTTTATATTCACAGGACCTTAATACCTTTATAATCTGAGCTATATTTTTAATTTATTATTCTATGGCCCAGGTTGCAGTAGCGAGTTCCATCCCATTACAACAATTTATTTCCCATACTGGTTGTTAATTTAGGATGTCCTGAGGTTTGTACCTTTGACAAATTGCAGCCAGGATACAGCTGAGGGGCTGATGAACTCATTTATACTCCCAAGGGCATCCTGCTCCAACTGAAAAACAAGAGTATCAAACAGTGAGCACAGTGGGGCTGCAGCAGTGATTGGCAGCAGGAGGGTGATGGGATGGGAATGACTTTTGCTGGGTGTCACAAGTCCTGGCTTCAGACATTTTGTTGTCACAGGTCAGGCCTTGTTCTGGCAGCCAGCTGCAAAAGGCTGATTTTTGTTTTAAGTAACTGAGGGAGCTTTGAGATGAAAAGAGCTTCTTGTCTCAAAAACTAACATTCCGCCTGAAAACAGACTGAAACCTGAAAGTCTCATCCCTCCTTCAAGGCTGAGGAATGGAGAAGTGAGCATGGCAGCTTTTGTGGGAAGAGTACAGCTCAGGATGCTTAAATGTCCTTGTCCTCCTTCTTCTGCAGGTGTGGAGCTGTCTGTAAACAACCAGGCTGCTGACTTCACCCTGTCCACAGGGCTCAGCCCTGCCATCTCCCTCTCCTGCCTCGTGCACAACAGCAGCCAGGCCGAGGAGCTGCTCTGGTACCGTGGGGAGGGGCAAGTGGATCTGAAGGATGGGAATAAAGTGAACGTCAGCAACATCTGCATCTCCCCAGTCAACGAGTCTGACAACGGGGTCACCTTCACGTGCAGGCTGGCACGGGACAAGGCTGTGCAGGTGTCTGTGACCCTGGATGTGCAGTGTGAGTTGCTGTGGTGGATTCCTGTGTGGAAGGGCTGGGGTGGGATGGAGTCCTGGGCACAGCAGCTCTGTCTGGGGCTGTGCAGGTGTCTGTGACCCTGGATGTGCAGTGTGAGTCGATTCCTGTGTGGAAGGGCTAGGGTGGGATGGAGTCCTGGGCACAGCAGCTCTGTCTGGGCGGTGTTTTGCGCCCTTGTACGCTGTCTTCACCGAGAAAAAATGCGTTTAGGAGGAGATAACTCACGTAATAAGGCACTCCCTTCCTGCACTGGTGCTTATGGCTGATCTAAGGGCTCTTTTATAGGAGTGGGTGGGTACCTTAAGAAAGATACTCTGGATATGTCCCTGCCTCCACCTAGGTTATTTCCCAAGGATACAAGTCAGGGCAGAGGAAATACTGGAGTGAAAGTCTCTGCCAATGGCTGCCCTCCTCGTTCCCAGGGATCAGGAAAGGCTGCACTACTGTGATCTGTTAGACCACTGAACAAGGAGCACGAGGGATGTGAGAAGGGAACTTATTTTGTGTTATATGTGGGCATTCTATGAGGCTGGAGCAAGGTGGGGTCAGGCTCTTCTCCCAGGTAAAAAGTGATAAGAGGAAATAGCCTCAAATTGTGCCAGAGGAGGCTTAGATTGGATATTAAGGAAAATTCCTTTACTGAAAGGGTTATCAAGTCCTGGCACAGGCTGCCCAGAGCAGCAGTGCAGACACCATCCCTGCAGAGATTTAAAAGATGTGTAGATGTGGCACAAGGGGACATGGTTTTGTGGTGGCCCTGGCAGTGCTGGGTTAAGAGCTGGACTCAATTTGAAGAGGCTTTTCCAGCCTAAATGGTTCTGTGGTTCTATGAGCAGCATTACTAACGACCTGTTGAACTGCATTCCTGTGAACAGTCCCTCCCCATCTGAGTGGAGAGGAGACCCTGCACGTGGAAGAAGAGAAAGATGTTACCCTGACCTGCAACTCCAAATCCAACCCTCAAGGCCAAAGCACGTGGTTAAAGGACAGCCAGAGCCTGACCCTGCAGCAAAGTCGGCACAAGCTGTACCAGACCAGCGAGGTCTTCCAGCTCTCCATCAGCAAAGTGCAGAAATCTGACAATGGGACCTACACCTGCCTGGTGGAATCACGCCTGGGAAGTGGGACAAGGGATTTCCACCTCATCGTTGAAGGTAGCAAGGCTGCTGCTGAATAATAAGCTTTACAAATGACTCTCTGTTCTCTTTTATAATGCCAATATTGTGCAGTGTAAGTGGAGTGTGGTAAATTCCCTGTGTGGATTTCTGAGGGCACAGCAACTGCAAGGAGCTCCCCCTGCTCCTGTGCCTGGGACCACAGCACAGGAAGGGCCTCTCCTGCTCTACCTGTTGTTGTTGTTGTTGTTCAAAAGCATTTGGCAAGTGTGACCTGGGGCAGGCTCATCCCACTGCTGCTCTTCCCACACTGACAGGGCACACTCAAGTGTGGGTTAAAGCACCTCAGGTCTTGTGTGAAGCATCTTACTGTGACCACAGGGTTCTGTCATGCCCAAAGAGCTGCTGAAGGCAAGAGAAGTTGTGCTCCAGAGGTGACTCCAGGGGCTGGGTGCTCAGGGCTCAGACTGGTGACGCTAAATCACCTCTGTCCAGACCCCTTTCATTTCTGTCCTCCTGGCACAGGGAGGGAAGCAGTGTTACCTGTGTCAGTGGTACCTCTGGGCTGCCTTGTTTCTGAGCATAACACTGCCTGGGGGATCTTCTTCAGGAGCTGATGTTTCAATCCTTCTTCAGTTCACTAAAACACGGGCTCAGCTCCCTCCTCTCCAGGGGACTAACACACAGAGTCAGTCTGTGGACAGCAGGGAGAGCAACAGTTAACTCAGCAGTGACAGCTGTGGGAAATGTCTTTCCACAGTCCTGTGGGGTGTTCTGGGTTATGAGACTGCACAAATTTCTCACATATCCAACTTCTTTCCTGACAGATAAAAAACCTGTTTTTCCCAAGGAGGCTGTTATTGCTGCTGTCGTGGTGGTTACAATCACAATACTTTTTGGAATTGTGGCTCGAATAGAAAAATTTCTTAAGGTATGGAAAGCTCTAGTTTCATAGGAAAAAATAGTATTGTTTGCTGCAGTGCCCTGGTTTTTTCCTGCCTTTTCTATTCTATTTCATAATGTTGCTTTTCACTGTTAGAAAACTGCAACAAACTACCTCCTGCTTTAGAATTACCAGTAGATAAACCAAGCATTAGACATTTCATGTGGAAGGCCTTATGTACTTGCAACATTTGTAACAATATCCCCACGGCCAGGAAACGTGAATGATAACAGGGCTGCTTTCTTTCTTTTCAGTGCTTCAAGAAACCAAAAGAAACAGCTCTGTAAGTATTTCGCTGCTTATTCACACTTACTCCAAATGAATTCTTTCTTTAAAATTAAGTATAATAAACCCACCCTGCTCTTGCTCTGGCTGGTGAACATCAGCCCTGTCCCAGCAGAGAGGGGTCCTTGGGAACAGGACAGGACACACAAAAATCCTGCCCTTTTCTGTGTGTAACCACTGGAAGAGAAAAATCCCTAATATCATACCCTCAGCCTGCTGGCAGCTTTCTGGAGCTGAACACAGCCCAGATGAATTCAACTTACTTGTGTTTTTTATTTTTTTCTAGGAGGTGATTTTTCATTTCTTCTGTTCATTTTGCTGCAGGTAAAGAACACCCAGAAAACATCATTTCTAGTGGTCAAGCAAAGCCATTGTGTGAGATGATGAGATAAAGCACTGAAACTGGTATTTTGGGATCAAGTTGATATGGTTTTTTTTAAATATAAGTGGTTCTTTGCATCTGTTGATTCTAAGCTGCTGCTTAGAGGGTCAGAACTGTTAGAACTGGTCACTGGGAGCCTTTCCTTGGAGCACCATTCATGAGGTGATGCCAGCTCTTGCCCTCCAAGCTTATTCCAACAAGGAATGCATGTGCAGTCAGGCACATGGGATGTGGATCAGTCTGCAGAGCAATCTCTACTGCATTGTGATGCACACAATAAAGTGAGGTGTTGTGCTGACAGCTGCTCTCTGTCCTTCAGTGCCGTTCCACAGGGCATTGGGGTGATGGCCACCCAACTCTCTGCCCCTTCCCAATGATCCTGTGGGCATCTCAGCTTCTCTTGCCAGGGCAAAAGCTGCCTGGCACTCAGCACTGCTGCTGCATGTCCCATCTCTGTGGCTCACCAGGGCTTGGGGCAGCCCCAAGTGCTCGATGACACACAGTGAAGTTACAGTGTGATTGCTCCAGCGCCACGATGGGTGGAAAACATCTTCATCCATCCCTTCCCCCAACAAATGTGCCACTCAAGCACTTTTCTCAAGTGGCAAGCTGTTGAGGCCTCATCATGCCTTGGAATTGTCCATTACTAATACTGTCAATAAACACTGCATGCTGTAAATCAATTCGAGACAGTGAAGCACCAGCATTCTTCTCAGAGGAACAGGCAGTTCCTCAAGAGGAAAATTCAGCAGCTCGATCTGGAGTGTGATCCAGAGCCTGTCCTTGACTCACCAGTGCTCAGGGAGGTTCCTCAAGGTGCCACAGCAGTGCCATCTCATGTTTCTGGGCGCTTGGCCTCAACACCACCAGCCGTGGAGAGCTGTCCCAAACCTTTCTGTTGACACAGTGTGCCCAGTCTGTGCCCCTGGCACTGAGATGAGATTGTGCCACAAACAGCCCCCAGCACTGGCCCTCTGTGGGTCGGGGAGATCATGGACTGCAGGAAGCGTGGAAGGTTCTGGAGCCGGGGCTGTGTGGGTGTGAGGGGTCCCTGTGAGGGGTCAGTGTAAAGGGTCGGTGTAAGGGGTCCCTGTGAGGGGATGGCAAGAGGGGCGGGTGAGAGGGGTCTGTGTGAGGGGTTGGTATGAGCCACCTGTGTGAGGCGTCCCTGTAAGGGGTCCCTGTAAGGGGTCCCTGTAAGGGATCCATGTGAAGGGTCCCTGTGAGGGGCCGGTGTGAGCGATCACTGTGAGGGGTCCCTGTGAGGGATCCATGTGAGGGGTCCCTGTGAGGGGACAGTGTGGGCGATCTGTGCGAGGGGTCCCTGTGAGGGGCTCGCCGTGAGGGGCCGCCGAGACGGGTCCGTGTGAGGGGTCGTTGTCAGGGATCGCTGCCAGGGTCCGTGTGAGGGGTCGTTGTCAGGGATCACCGCCATGCACCGATTTCAGGTGAGGGTTCTCTGTGGGGGGCCGCCCCACCGGCCCTAATCGTGTCCCTCGTCACTCGCCGTCCGCCCTCCCGCCGCCGCTCCCCCCCTCGCCCCCGGCCGCGGCCCCGGGCCCCTCTTCCGGCTTCCGGTGCCGGCGCTATAAGAGCCGCTTCCGCCTCGGGACCGTGCTGCCGGTGCCGCCATGAACGCCCGCGGTGAGGGGGGGCCGGGGGTCCGTCCGTGAGGGGCGGGTGCGGGCGGAGGGGGCACAGCTGCACCTCAGCGATAGCGGGCGGATACCGGGGAGGGGGGGGATCTTGTCTATGGCGGGGATGGGGGGGGGCTCATCGGTACCTTAACAGCGAGTCAGGGAACGGAAATTCCCGGGGAAGCGAGGAGATTACCGGCCCTTACCGGGGGGGTGGGAGGCTCATGGATACCTCAGCAATAAGTCGGGCGGGGGAAGGGGGGGAATTACCGGGGGCAGCGAGGCGTTCCGGGACCTTACCGGGGCTGTGGGCAGGGATAACGTGCCCATTGTTACGGGACCGGAGCCTCTCCGTTATCAGCGGTGGGAGGGTGTGTGTGTGTTACCGGGTGCGGTGCCGGTGCCCCGGCGCTGACCCTGCCCCGCTGTCCCGCAGGGCTGAGCACGGAGAAGGCCGTGGCCTTCACTCGGCGGCTGCGGGCCGAGCCGCAGTTCCTGCTGGCCCAGAACGTGGCCACATGCAACGACCCGCTGGAGGTGTGCCTGCAGCGGCAGGTGGTGCAGGACACGGTGCAGGTGTTCCAGCACGCCGTGCCCAACGAGGGCAAGCCCGTCACCAACCAGAAGAACTCCGGTGAGGGCGCTCGGGGCCGGGGGCGGTGTTTGGGGGATGACTCCTAATGCTGATTGTGCTCCGGAGCCCTTTGTCCGGGCTTCGGGGAAAAGTCGAATTCCTGCAGCATCCCCTTGAGTTAATAACACCCGTTAGACTCTCCTTGAGTTAATAACACAGGTTAGACTCACCTTGAGTGAATAACACACATTAGACCTGCAGCGTTTGCCTCCTTTCCCTCCTGCATGGTGTAACTGAGAGATGTGCTTGCAATGAAAGATTTCAGAACACCCTCAGAGCTCTTTGGTGTTGCCAAAGGCTCGAGGCAGAACTGTGTCATGAATCTCGTGGTGAAAGGAATTGTTGTGCAGCTCCTGAGCACAGGTGTTCCAGTTTAATTCCTGTTCCTTTGATCTCTCAGGGAGATGCTGGATCTTTTCCTGCCTCAACGCAATGCGTCTTCCTTTCATGAAGAAATACAACATTGAAGAGTTTGAGTTCAGCCAGTCCTATCTCTTTTTCTGGGATAAGGTACAGTCGTGTAGGTTGTTGTAGGATTGGTTATGCAATCAGGTGTTAGTGTTGGGACAGAACTTCTTTTAGGCTGCACTGTTTTAGCATGTATGAGAAGAAACTTCAAAAGTTCCTTAAAAATGTGTTTTAAATGCAGGTGGTCGAGCACAGCGGGACTTTCAGCTTGAGAAGAAAGTTGTCAAGATGCTGATGTTTTGGAGTAGTAAAGTCTTTTTTGTCAAGAGTTCTGTATATTGCAGCAGTTACTTGTTGGCAGTTCAGGGCAAACATGACTGTAGCTCTGAGGTTTCAGTTGTGCTCGTGAGCTGTGTGCCTGCTCCTCCCCCTAAGGGAAATTAAGCAAATCTAGTGCTGGTTTGGGTCAGGCTTTATTGCATAACTTCTGCTCCCCATTTCCTGTTCCCCTGTCCTCAAACTCTGTGTGAAGTCACTCCTAAATATTTGCTCTAACAAAGAATTTTATAGGGTAGCCCCTGGAATTCTGGAGGGGAAAATGAGGATTTCATTGGATGAGCAGAAAGTTGCTTCATGTATTCTGTGCTTGCAAAGAACTGAATAATCAGCAATTAATTAATGTATAATAGATCAGACTTACAAGGGTTGGGGTTGTTTATCTGTGTGTTTCAGGTTGAACGTTGTTACTACTTTTTAAATGCATTTGTGGAAACAGCTCAGAAGAAGGAGCCAGTGGAAGGGAGACTGGTGCAGTTCCTGCTCTCCAACCCCACCAATGATGGTGGACAGTGGGATATGCTGGTCAACATTATTGGTGAGAGAACTGCTCACAGGGAGCCCTTCCTGAAACTGCAGCCTGCTTTGAGAAATGGGGAATGGAATAGAATAAAAAATTGACCTTGAGACCTGGGAATTGGCTAAGGAACATGATGCCATTAACCACTGTATTTTTTTTAATCAAAGACTTTTTTGGGGGCCAGATTATAAGTATTGGGCTTAAATCTTGTCTGGAATCACTTTTGCATGGTCCTGTTGATGATAAAAGCTCAGATGATCAACAAATAATTAGATAGCCTTGACTTTCAGTTTAATAAAAGGGTTCAACACCCTTTTCCTGCAGTCATCAACTCAACCTCATTTATTTATAGCCATGTACAGTCTTTAGGGCACATGGTAAGGGAAAAGCCACTGCTGGACCCAGGTGTGTTTACAAAGCTAAACTACTTGGAATTGCAGCCTGAAGTTGGTGTAAAGATCAGTGAGAAGGAATTGATGTGGAATGTGGCACTGCTGGTCCTACAGAGCTCCAGGAGGAACCCACGCTGCTGGAGAAACTTAATTACAGCAGCACTTGCTCTCATTTGTGTTGTGAAACAATGTGACACCTTTGTAAATCAACAAGGCAATAATACAAATTTAGAATCACAAAAGGAATTTGTTTCTTTGAAGCCTGAAGGTTCCTTTTTTCCTCTTCCCATTGCTATAAATACGTAATCAGGGCAGAGATTTTGGCTGCTGCTGTTACATCCAGAGCCTTGCATGGTGAGATCTGTGAGTGGTGCTCCAATGTAGGAAGCCATGAGCTGCTGCTGGTGTTTTATAAATGTTGAGCAGGAAAGGAGACTGGGAAGTCAGTTTTAACTTTAGATAATTTACATGGAGTGATTCACAGGAGGCCCAGTTCTTTAGAAGGTATTTCAGGAGATTAATTTTAAAGCAATCAAGGTTTTTTGGTTTGGCTTTTTTTTTTTTTCCTGGTTTACAGGACTTCTTAAAGCACTAATTAATTCAGAACTTTTAACTGTTGAGTTAAATAATAGTGAGGAGTTCAGGGATTCCACTTACTGGGATCCCTGTGGAATGCAGCTCAGAGGTCAAGAT